AAACTTTAAATAACAGACATCGTACTTCAAGTTATTTAAACCACAATTCACATTTCAATGAGTACTTCTCATGTTGATTATCCAAGAACCCGTTTTCACTTACGGCTTTAAAAGTCAGAATACTATGAATACAGGCCACGACGTTCCATTTACGTATTTCATAACTCGATTAGAGTTTATCGAGCATTGTTTTTAAGGGACGTTAGCTTCAAACCTTTAGCTTTAAAATTCGTCTTCACACGTGTTTTTACAAGACGATGCCGAAAACTTTAGGAAGCTTTTCCACTTCAAAAAACAACTTTTAAAACATATGAACWTCATGAATACATAAAAAARCTTTTCRTACAAACATTTTGACTCTTCAAAATGAAATCGAGAGTTGTTTTAAGACATTTTACCTTAAAATTCCTTCCCCATKGAAGCGAAAGATCTTCAAGCATGCGACGAGCTATTCGTGTCACGTGATGTTGTGAGGCGCGACCAACCCTCGCAAAGCAGGACGGTCATGTTTGCGAACAGCACAGGAAACCCATCGGAAGAATTGTCCAAAAAAGAGAACTTTTGATAATTAGAAATTAATAAAAAAATACATAAGAAAGTGCTCGTCTCATTTTTTTTCTCTGAGAGCCTTTTTTTTTCGATGTAACAGATGTAACATTTACTCGAATTGTGCCATAATTAATGTATTTCTGAAGMTTTTACGTCATGTACGCAATAAAAAATGAGGGCTGCGCAGACAGAGGGCGGGCGAGAGAGTAAGTAAGAGTTATAGCATTCAATTTTCAAGAAGCTGTTCTTTGTAGGCACTTGGACCATGCATAGCCATAAATCACGATAGCTTTGAAACTGACGAAGGGTCCGTATCCAATGCAATGGTTTGACACACAAAAACGAATAATAATGAAGAAGAGATAGAAAGAAAAAAGAAAGGAGAAAAGCATACCGGATGATTTTAATATAATTATAGGATTGTAGTAACAAAGAAGTTTAAAGGGACACTGTCAATGGATGACATACGCAGTAACAGTCTCACCTCTAACGGACTTTGAAAGTATAACCTTCGAGGTAAATCATTTTGTGGTGCTTTTGACACACTTTGGAATATTCTAGATCTGTATACGTTTACGATCTGATTTATGTCGCGCCAACTTGGAATCATAAACTTGAAAACACTAGCCTAGTGTTTGCTCGCGTATGTCATCCATTGACAGTGTCCCTTTAATAACGATTGTCAGATTCTAATGGCGCTTTCTAATGCGTATTCTGATAAAGGTTCCAACATATATATGCATATAAGAGTAAGACTATTATTTACTCTAAACCGCGGCTAAATGTAATGTCTCTCATGTGGATACAAGAAAGAAGGTTGTGATCTTTCTAACGTCACTCCTCTTAAGTATGACGTCTCTTTGTTGTACGATGACGTCATAACGTTTGCCGTTTTTGTGGGCACAAGTATTTCTTCGCAACCTGATYTTGAAGGGGTCCTCTTGCACATGATGTATCGATTTATATGATCGGACAAGTACCCAAGCGGCAAAGCACCCTGGGATAGTACTTGGTAATGGAAATCCTTTAAGTTGAAGTCGCTTCCCAATTCTCTAGTTGCTTTCTCTCTGGTTTTCTTAATAACCAATTGACCAATCATATACCCGGTAGCTTGACCCGCGACGCTCTGRTAACGGGTGACTTCTTTTTCGGCCACATCTGTGTCGTCCCAGGCTTTATCACTGTGAAGTTTGAGGGCCTCGGCTCTAGTCATCCCCTTATAGTGTAG